TTAAAATATATTGAGTTAATTTTATATTGTACGAACATGAGACTTTAATGCCAGATGCCGTGATTTTAAAGAGCTTAATTGAAAAGTTAACTAAACTGGGAAAACTTTAATAATACTTATGGAAGCTCGATATGGCGTATGAGTAACATTATTTTCTGCTCCTATTTCATACAAAAATATTATTGCTTATTTTCACTTATTTTTTATTATTATTTATTAATGTTTATTTATCCATCGATTTTCATCGTTAGTAGCTTGATGGCTTGCGAGGCTTTACTACAAATAAAAAAAAATTTTGATAAAATCGGATATATTTTTAGTAACTTGGTCCTATTTTCCTAATAGGGTAAAGCTTAATAGATCTGGATTGGGATTCTGACAACCGCTACGCTAAATTTTCGTCATCAAGATTCTGAAAAACAGTGGGCCCTAAAAGCATGCAGCATGAAAAAAGTAAAAATTATAAGGTGTAAATGGCTCTCGCTATGGCAGGCACCTTGTGCGTGGTGCGGGCGTATAGTCGAATCGTGATCAGTCCTTATGAGTGGGTGGTAGTGCAATTATGTCTTTACCTTCGAGTATAAGGTGAATGCACATTGGAGGGATTGTAGCCAGGGGGCTTAACAGACCGGCTGTGTTATAACGTCACCTTCCTGATACCGGACCGCCTCAGGGAGTAACGGTGGCCTTTCGGCGGCATGGGGCGCTGCCGCGGAGGGCCGTTAATTTTCCCCTTACATTACTTAGACCACTGCGCCCGCCTCGCCACAACAACAACAAAACTAAAAATTGGAAAACTTCCAGCAGCGGATTTTCGTCTCTGCTCGGGGTTCTGAGGAGGTGAAGTCATCTTTGGCTAACACCGCGGGGGCCTGCATGGTCAGCTGGCCAACGACAAAGCTTCGAGCAACGGAGGGTCGTTGGAGTTGTTACCCAAAGCTGTCTATGTCCCGGGTGGCAGTTCTGGCCCTGTGGAAACGAGTTCATCTCTCGCTAAGAGCACGAATTGGGGGGATCACAGCCAGCTTCATCGACTAAGTAGGATAAAACCGGAGGAAGTCTGGCAGTCGCGGGTAATGACTGTGCGAAATCGCACGGGATATCTGGGGGTGTAGTGCGTGGCGAAAGCGCCAGCACCAGCATGAACCCATCGCCGTGGGTCTTTAGAGCTTCGAGTAACTCCAATAGAGTGCCCAGGGTAGGTCTAAACGGCACGCCACCGCTGCGTGAAAGGCGCATTCGGCCCGTCGCATGACCACCCAAATTTTAGAGCGCTACGGCGGACAGTGTGCCGATCAAATAACCAATCAGCATGCTTGAACTCTCGGGTGAGCTCAAAAGGTGCTGAGATATGCAGAGTCTACGTTAGCCGCACAGGGGAGGGGATGGCAGCCGGCGGCGTGATTGCGACGCTATCGGCTACGAAGCGGCAAAGGTCTTTAAAGTGGGAAAACTTCCTTTATTAAGAACCGCGCACTGGGCCGGCACCTACGTTTAGCGAAATCACTAATCTAGCTGGCTCTGTGGGGCTAGGGTTCATGGGCCGCAGCAGTTAGGACTTCACTATGACCCACCAAGTGTGGAAATGTGTAGACGCTACCATCTCTGCTGTATTTGTGAAGGTTGTCAAGGGGCAACCTGGCCCACCACCCAGGTGTAATAGTGCCGGATGGCACCATGGTCTGCTTAAGCTCTCTAGATGCGCCGGCGAACGGTCGACGGCTCTATACAAGGAGGCAGTTTCCTTGGTGTAGGAGGTGTAGAATGGTGCCAAGCTAGTGGCCGTAGATAAAACGGATCTTCTTCTTCGTCCGAGGACTCGGATATAGACTGAAGAATTACATACTTCGGTACTGCAATCCATCTCTCCCGACGCATAACTGGAAAGTTATCTGGCTAGGGAGGGCCGAGGAGAAAGCGCTGGTACTGCTAAATGAAGAGTCCGTCGGTGCTCTTAGCTCCTCTGCCGGAGGGTCCGTCTTCAGTCTCGAGGGGTATGCTCCACCTTGAATAAGGTTGACCTGACAATGTTCTGATCCAGGAGCCGTGGGTAGGCAGTAACCGCATGTCTAGGCTCAGAGAAAGAAGCTAAAAGCTCTTGATGGCGAACTATGTAGGTAGAACTAGGTCTTGCGTGCTCATAAGCGGTGAACTCAAATATTTTCTTTTACGTAAACTCGGTGCAGTCAGCGAATTCGCTAGATGAGCTTGCCGAAATTTTAAGCTCTCCCTCCAAGGACTTCAGGCCAATCAGTCTCTCATCATTTCTACTGAAAACGTTGGAGGGGCTGGTTGACCTGCTCATAAGGAGCGTGATTTCTCGATATCGCCTATCAAGAGCTCAGCATGCTTATTGTAAAGGACTTATAGTTAATGAAGACGGTTTATGAACTGATCCAATGCTATCTTAACATAGTTACGAACTGGACGTCCAAAATTGGCCTCGCCGTCAATCCCAGTAAGACAGAATTGGCCTTATTCACTAGAAAGTATAAAATCCCTAACACCGCTTTTCCCCCAGTTGGAAGCCAGCGTTTTCAGCTGTCTGACCAGGTCAAGTACTTGGGATTGGTTCTTGACAGTAAGTTATCCTGGAGGCGAGATATCCAGGAAAGAGCAAGAAAGTCACCAGTGGCCTTATATTGCTGCAGGCAGGCTATTGGTAAGAGATTGGGTATTTCGTCCAAAGTTGTCTATTGGCTCTATGAGACCGCAGTCAAGCTAATCAGTTTCATGGCGCCCTAGTCTGGTGGAAATCACTTGAAAAGGCTACACTAGGCTATTTTATTTGGTAGTAGTGGGGCACTGCGGAGTGCCCGTCGACGTTGCAGGCAAAATTTTCGCGGCACGAAGAGTTATTAGACGCAGGTAAACCGATTGGTTGACCGATGTAAGGATTGGACACTCTGGAGTTCTTGGGAGCTTCGATTACATCACTATTCGCACAGATTACTGCGCCCCGAAATGGCGCCTAGGAGTTTCTTCGGTGAACTTGTTCACAGATGGATCGAGACTGAACCGCAGGGTCGGTGATGGAGTCTTCTGTCGTGAGATCTCAATCAGCATTATGTTCAGGCTTCCTGACTTCTATAGTTTAGTCCGCGCAGAATTGCCTGGTATCAAGGAAGCGGTGGATTCACTGCTCCAGAGTGCTATGACAGTTAGGGAGGTGAGCATTTATTTTGATAGCCAAGCGGCTATCAGGCCCTTAAGTACGTCCTTACTTGGTTAAGGAAAATCTTGTCTCTATCTCGGTCGCATCGGTATACTTCTGTGTTAGCCCTATTTGGGTTCCGGGTCACAGCGACATTGCAGCATGTAGCTGACGAATTGGCGAGGAAAGGCACTCGTGAAACGTTATCGCCGGATAAAAATCGGGCGCGGGTGCCGTTAGCCACCTGAGATACACTCTTGTATAAATGGGCCTTATGCCAGCTGAAAATCAGGACATTCGCGATTGCAAGGTCCTTCTGGCCGAGGATTGACAGGGGGCGGTCGAGGACACTCCTTACACTCACAATGCCACAGATCTCACTTTTGGTAGGGATTTTAATGGGTCAATATCCAAACGGTATTCACGCAGTAAGGCTGAGCATACTACCGGACCTCCTATGTCGCAGTTGCCTAGAAGATGACGATGTGATATCACCTTAACACTATCTTATTGCGCGGCTAAGGTTGAAGTTTTTTGATTATCACATCTTTAATAGCCCCGAGGAGCTCTGGGACATTGAGATTAGCCAAATTTGTAGATACATAATCTGCTCTGGGCGTTTTATCGATTAAGTATTGGGTGCCGTTCAGAATGTGGTATCACAAAGACCAATCTCCTAATTGGCTAAGTGAGCCCTGGTTACACGGAGTTAAGCTAAGCTAACCTTACGTGATGTGTAATCGACCACTTCTGGCAGTGAGAGGGACATGTAGCTAGATGTTGCAAGTTGTCAGGCGAACTGGTATTTTTCTAGAGATTTTTGGCAATCAAAATTAGCGATAGCGATTTCTAGAATCCGCTGCTGGTTCGGACAATTGTAATTGTAGTGAAAAATCAAAGAAAAAATGATTGCATTGAGTATTGCTAGATCTCCAAAACAACTTAACGGTGCACTCATAGCGGAACCACAACAAATAGCATTTTCAGAATATAGACCTATGATATAATTTCTGGAATATGAATAAAATATGACACTAGGAATTTATCATTTTGTAACCAAAATCATCATTTTAACATGCAATACTTATGAAGGATGATAGTTTAACGACTAATTTACACCTTTTTGTGCTTTCAACCTTTTTGTGCTCTTCCTTTCATTTAATATGTACATACATACATACGAGCATAATTCCTTTTACTTACCCTGAATTTGAATTTTCGAAATCATTGAAGCCATTCAACGAAAAGCGCATCAAAGTGGAAACTCAAAAATATAAATACTTTCATTGTTTGATTTTATTCAAGCAAATCAGTAATTGCTTTGTGAATGCAACATTCAATTTATTGAACATAATGACAGCGCATTATTACAATTACACTTAAGTTTATTATCATAAATTTTTGTTTTCACATTTTTAATTATAAGCTAAAATACATATTTTACTTTGCTCGACAACATTATCAATAATAATAAATAAGTAAGTAATTACAATCAATGGCAAAAGCAATGTATTGATTTGTGTAAACAATAAATTTTACTTACATACAATAAAATTTGCTTTCAATCATCATTAAACCAGTCATTTTATGCACTTATGTATGTAGAGCGAATTGTAGCAAAATTTTTTTTTTATAATATATTTGTTTGTTGTTTTTTTAAATAATGGGATTCACGTGGTGTCTAAGTGAGTCATATTGTCATAAAATTGTAAATTTTGTAATGGCTGAAAATATTTTTGCTTAATGCAAAACAAGCGCATAATATGTTTAGCCGTTGTAAAATTTGTGAATTTATGACAATGTGACTGTTATGACAAACTGTGAATGCCTTTAAATTTTTTTTTGCAGTTTTGCGAGTTTTATTACACAGTGGAATAAGCCATTTTAGGGCCTCAACGAAATTATTGGTATATCCCTTTAACCGGCAGAATTACAGCATTTAATCAGAAATAGTCAGATTTAGTCCGGAAGATATTGTAAATGTGTGTACAGGAACGATTTCTGACTAAATACTGTAAATCTGACTGCTAAAGGAACAGAGGGAATGTGTAAACGTTAGTATCCATGCGTGATAGTTAAACCACAAAAAGATTTTGCTTCACCTCATCATAATTTTTTTTTTGCAGTGGTTCAAAGCGCTCACTTTTGCGGCGTAAATTTCATAATATTATATGTAATTATATAAATAAATAAACCTCAAACATGATTCTTGTCTTCAGTGTCAGTAGCAAAATTAAGTGCAACATTTTTTCGGAAATATTCTAACCACTTGACTCCAAACCGAATGGGTCTTTTTGACCCCTATTTTGTTGAACCAAAGTAAAGGACAATTGTGTAGAGCAGGCGAGAAATTATTTTTCGGTTTTGACTACCATGCACGGTTGCTCACTTTAGGCCATTATTTCGTTGAGGCGCCAAAATATAACAACTAAATTGTTCCACAGTGCTGACTTTTGGTATCAGAAGTGTTTCTTTTTTATTACTCGTATAATATATACTTTTCTATTTCTAATTTTTATTTTACCATAACCCATAATTTCTGTGTCATTTAATTTTTTTTATTTAACTAAACTTTAACCCACTCTTCAACCTTCTACTTAGTATTTTAAACCTTAAGCCTGAAGTGTCAAGTCTGCACAAAGAGTTCTTCAGTTCGTTTGCATGTCCACTTGAAGCGCTATGAAAAACACTAATTAAGTAAATTTTCTTCATAAATGTAACAAGCAAATTTGTCACTTGTGAATTTCTGGAATTTTATTTAAATATTTAATTTTCGTTTTCATATTCCTAAAATTCTGTTTATTTTAATTTGTTACTTTATTAGCGTTTAAACGGCACCTGCGCTTGCTGCTACATAAAGTTTTACGCATTCATCTCTGCATTTTGTAAATTTAATTATTTAGACTGCAATTAAGCTTATTAAAATTTCAGTTTGATTTTGTCCGCCTTTGGTGCTCGTCGTAAATACTTTCAATTGCTTAGCACTTCATTTACACAGCTACTTTTACAAACATACACTCCTATTTATCCGCTTTGTCTGTTTGTTTGTCAGCGCGTATGTACGCATTGGAATACTAAAACTTTCAATTAATATTTCAATACCAGCTGCAGCAGCATTTCGCTGGTAGCACTTCCACTTCCACAGCACCAGAGACAGCGACAGCGACATCGCCATCGACAACAGCTGCAAAATTCACGCTCCTTTGTCAATAATATTGCAGTTGTTGTTAGTAGTGTTGTCACAGAAGCTGTCTTCACACAACTGCAGGCCTCAGCAATGCTTAAATAATCGTATTGGCTGTGCAATTTTACTAAGTATATACTATTTTCAATTGTAATTATAATTATTTTGTGATTATTATCAGCAGCGTTCACATAATCATCGCCATTAACCAGGACGATCATTACCAGCGATTGGCCATTAATAAGAACGTTTCGTAAATTTAACTAACCAACTAGTAGTGTGCGTGTTTTTGTTGTTGCTGCTGTTTTTCGTATAATTACTGCTTTTGGCACCACCACTGGTGCGTTCAGCACTAATTCTAGCCGTCGCCTTCGCCTTCGCCTTCGCCGTCGTTGTCGACAACGCCATCGCTGCCGCATCGTCCACTCTTCGCCCATCAACACGCACACCACCAACACGTACATCACCTATAATAGCTCTAGCTTGCCCCTTATTGCCAACAACACCCACCAGCGCTCGCACCACAACTCTGCCCACAGCAGCAGCAGCAGCGGCAACACTGTTGACGGCCGTTGACGCCAACACTGTGGCACGTTTATCTCTGCCTCACTGTATTAACGGTGAGTGTTGTGAATTTTCGCTAAAATCAACTGTATAATACATGTCATTCTCCAAATTCATCGCCAAATGCCGTTGAAACGGCCGCTCGTGCATTTGGCCGCCCAGCTGTTGCTGCTGCAGCTGCTGTTGTCGCTGATGTGACTGATGACCTCCACCGCCGCCTACGCCGCTACCGCCACCACCACCGTGGTGCGCTGAGGGCAGGTGTCCGCGTGTCAGCGATGTCGTGGAGCCGGATGAGCGCAATGAACCGCCACCATTGCCAGCACCGCCGCCGCCGCCACCGCCCAGTCCCTTGCCGCTTAGCCAGTGTTTGTTGAGTTTGCTTTGGGATTTGTTGCGTCGGCCGAAGCCCAGAATGGGAAAGAATGTGGAAGAACGTGTTGAGAATTTACGGTATGTCTGATTAACCTTGCAGTGACAGATGGCGACCTGTATGGAGGAGACAAACAGAGAGAGAGAGGGAGAGAGAGAGAGAGAGAGAGAGGTAGGTGAGAAATATGTGAAAGAAAATGGCACGTTGGTAGTAAATTAGAAAATGAAGATAAATGAGCATGTCGAGGCGGGCTGACGGGATGAAAATTAATTAAATGCCAGGTAAATATCTCAGATGAAATTCGCTTTAAAATTTGAAAATTTTTTAGTAAATAAAAATAAGTAAAATTAATGCGCATGCCATTGTAAAACTATACTAAACTTAGGGTAGCACTTAAAAATATCAACATCATGCTGCGCACAGTGGTCGGAGAGGCCATGTTTTACGCCAAAAATTAGAAGGACTGCTAAGACCTTAATAACACTTTACTATCATAGTACTATTGCCATGTTAAATGCGAATATGAAAAAAAAATTTATATTTTGACAGTTTACAGCTGTGAAATCAAGAATCAATTTCTCAAAAAGTTTTGAAAATGCATATTATTAGGTTCTTAGACACGCTAGTCACGCATTTTATGTCAAATTAGAACCTTGACTGCTGTCAACTGGCCTGTAAATTTCTCTTAAAATAAGAAATTACTTTTAAAAATATCACTTATTAGGTTCTTAGACATGCTAGCCTTAAAACAAGAAAATTTTTCTAAAATTCCACTTATCAGGTTTCTAAGCAAGTTAGTCACTTTTACAATTGACAGCTGTCAATTGGACTGGAAATTTCTCTAAAAATAAGAAAACTTATGTGAAAATTCAAATGCTCGTGTATTTAGACAAGATGTCAAATTAAAACATGGAAAGTTGACAGCTGTCAAATAAACTATAATTTTTTCTCTAAATAAGAAAATCTTTCTTAAAATTTGACTGTTTAGGTTTTTAGACATGCTAGACATGAATTTTACGGTAAATAAAAAATTTGGCAGTTCACGGCTGTCAGTTGGACAATAAATGTTTCTGTAAATAAGAAAATCTGGTTTTAAATGTCGCTGTCAAATTAATGTAATTTTCTCTAAAACTAAAAAACTCGTTTTTGAAATTTCACTTATGTTTTGATCACGCTTAATGCGAATATTATGTTAAATTAAATTTTTGACAGCTATCAAATAAGCTGTCAGTTTCTTTTCAACAAGGAAATTTTCCTACTGGGTTTTAAGACTCACTAATCTTAAATTCTATATTATATTTGATTTTTTTCAATTGAGTTACTTTCTTGCAGTTCAGTAATAAAATATTTTTGCTTAGCTAAATAAATTATTCATTTCAATAAAGGGAGCATATTTAAAATGAATTTAAAATTAAATAGTGAAATAAAAACAGCAATTATAATTATACACGGTGTTTGGAAAGTGGTTGATCATCCGTATTTTCAGCCTGAGAAATTTTACCTAGATTTTTTTTTATTTAATACGAAATTCGTCATTTCCAAAGTTCAAACCATATATTGAATTTTCCGTTTTTAGTTTTCATTTCAAATTTGTAATAAGCGAATGTAATAAATTGTTAAAAAAGCTCGCAACACATAACGGTTCGTTGAACTAAACGGATTCCTCAGCAGATACATATCTATTATTGAGATAACACGGAAATTTTTAAATTAAAAAAAAAATGTTCAGAGGAAGGAAACCTGGGTTTGAAAATATTGATTTTTTAACTCGCAAAAATTTAAAATAATTTTGACTTTTACCAGCTATAACTCAGCGAGGTCATGAATTTAAATCAATTGGTTTAAATAAAATGTCAAATTTATCAGATTTCAAATGAATAATTTAACCCTTAAAAATTTGTTTAAAATTTTGAAAATTTCGTGGATGTCTATATTTTGTAGGTAAAACAAAACAAATGGGTGACCCATAAAAAATTTTGATATTTATATTTTGCGAACCACCCTAATATACATACTCGTGCGAATGTACAAAAATATGTATGTATGCAAATGCAAGTGATTCCCAAGTTTCAATAAAAATAAGACAAAGTTAACACTACGTTTCTTCTTCTTCTCTATGTTTCAATTTGTAAGCGGCCACCGACTTGGGCCAACACGCCAGTCTTTTCTGTTTTCCGATTACAGTAAGAATATTAGAAAGGTGAAGAGAAATTATTTGTAGAAGTCAGGCAAGCGATTAAGGCAAAAACATTGTACCTTTACTGATAACGAAAATGAGTGACCACTAGGGTGGCCCAAAAATTCATGTAAAAAAAGTAAAGTCGGAATTTTTATGCTCTCACCCCGTAAGAAAAAAGAACTTTTCGTGGAAACGGTATGGAATTCCTGAATATCAATATTTTTCGATCGAAAGGCTCTGATTCTCTTCAACAGATTCCCAATAATAAAACTCAATTATTTTTTTTTAACAATTTTTGCTTAGTAACTATATTTTATAGGACCGCCAAAACCCATAGAAAATGCCAGAAAATGCAATGGGGGGATAAATAAAAAATCTTCATTATTACAAAATGGTTAAACAAATAATTGGATATATGTAGTTATTGGAAGTCTCCTGAAGAGAACCAGAGTTTTCCGATCGAAAAATATTGAATACATGGAAAAGTTGGAGCGCTTTGAGCGACCTCTAAATATTTTTTGACTTCAAAATAAAAAAATAGGGGTATACTTTTTTCAATATAGAACATTCCTAGGGGTGAGAGCATTAAAATACCGACTTTACTTATTTTGGATCACCCTAGTGACCACCCCTCCTGCTTTCAGTAAATTTTCTGGCTGTCACTTCTTTTTAATAAAAAAGACAGATTTACAAGATTGCAGACTCTTTGAAAGCTTACCTATTAAGAGGTCGTAAATTTGAGGTGCATGCCCGCAAAACATAGTACCTGAAATGTTTGCATAGGTTCTCAATAAATTACCAGCTCTCACACCATGCTTTCTAAAGATTCTTCTTAGACGGTGTTTTTACGTAATATGTACCCCAATGTGGCGTATTTAAAGCACCCTATATTTCTGCTAGAACAATCACGGCTTGATTTCGATAATAGGCTGGCCACATTGGCAGAGTGCGCGTACGTAAGAGTACGTATCTGTAAGGGTCGAAAAATCACAACTGCTTGTCCAGAAGCCCTAATTTATCTCCATCGTGCAGCGAGTAATCTTTATTACTTATTGGACTTTGCTAATTTAAAGGAGATAAGACGTTATACGCATATTTCTTTCCCCGCTAGATGGCGCTGTGATGGCGAAACATCCTAAATTAACGAATATTAAAAAATTGTAAGAAGTATCGATTCGCATAAAACTTGATTTTTTCCATCCATATTTTTGCAACTCCCTGGCAATGTAGTTTCCGTTTTATCTCTTGAAGTTTAGATGAGAAGAAATTACTATTTTATTTAAGTAAATGAAAATTTCGATCGCAAAAGTTAAACTTATTCTTGACCACGTCTGATTATAGTTTAGTCCGCCTTCTTCCCAGGGCAGGCAAAATTTCCTAAAACCACTTACAAAAAAAAAAAACCAACTTAAATCATCTAGGAAAGCAATAAAATGTGGAAAGAAGAAATGTAGAGGGCAATATTCATGCATGGTCATGCAAGCAAATTATAAATAGAAAGTATGTTGATGATGGTGCTGGTAATGATTTGCCGGAATGTGCTAAGTATCACATAATTTTAGTTTAAATGAGCCAAAAAGGCGCTAACACACACACACGCACGCATACGCACACACAACTGCCAGTCGTAAAGAGATTTCAGGCATACTTAATGTCCTTAGAGTGAGAAAATAACGATGCCGATGACAGTCTAGAATAGACTAAGTACGTTTATACTGCAGTATGTACTTACCACAACGGCAACAATGAATACGGCTGCCGCCAACACGCCCGCACCAAAGTAAGCATTATGCAATTCAATGGGGCTCTTTAACACAACCGATGAACCGAAAGTTTTATCATTAAAATTTCTGGCGCTCGTATCATCGACCATAAACTCGCTGGAACTAACGACGGTCTCCACCACAAACTCATCTGGAGCAGCAACAGCAACCAACAGCAGCAGCCGCAAAGTATGCGAAAAGTAGTTGTAGGAAGTTTAAGTTGAAGCCATAGTTTTGTAAGGAAGAAAATAATAATAAAAGAAAGAGTGTAAGAAATTAGTGAGAAATGAAAAGAGTTAGTGAAATTACAGTCTTTTGTGTATAGTTATGTTGCTAGGCAACGAATTACTTATATCAGAATAAATGGCTTCATATGAGAAGGTATTTAAAACGCACAATTACTATATAGTAAGCAAGTATGTGCGATTCCATACCTCAGGTTTAAAAAAAATATATATAAAAAAATCGTTTCCTTCACTCAAAAAACTCAAATTTATTTATCACTTAAATTTTTTCTTAAATTGCATATCAATCAATCAATAAAAAAATCGGTCGAAACTGATATAAAAAAAAAAATTTGTATTCGAAAATTATTAAAATATGTTGTGTAACGTAAAACCCTGAAACTTTCACTACCTGCCTTTAAAAAAATACTGGAGTAACAGGGCAATTGTGGTACTGTATTTTAACTAACAACAGTCTTTCGAAAAAAAAAAATATATCTGTTTTTCTTTTTAAAAAAATAAAAACTGTAAATTAAAAGAAAATAAAGCTAAAAAAAATTAAATTTTAACAAGAAAAAAAATTTGAATTCAATATCTAACAATTATATGAAAAAAATTTAATTTTTTTAAAACAATAAAGTCAAAATAAAATTAAATTTAAAAAATATATTAAATAAATAAGTTCCTAAAAATTATGTTCAAAAATTTCTTTTTAAAACAATAAAAGCTAAAAATTAATAGAGAATTCAATAAAAAATAAAAATAAAAATTTTTTATCAAAATAAGAAAAAATTTATTATCTAAAAACTAAATTATATTAAAAAAGTATGTTTCTATTTAAACACTAAAATAAAAAAAAATACATAAAATTAAAAAATACTCGAATTTTTATATTATAGAAGTATTTCAGCTTATTGGAATTTTAAAACTCAAAAATGGAAGAGTAAAACTGAATGTCTCTTCGACTCAGTTTTTTCTAATGAAATGAACTATTTTCTCTTTCCTATTAACTAAATTAAGAGATTTGAAACATTACAATTACATCTTAAAATCAAATTTGCAATAACAACTAACTATAGAAATGAGAAAAAGGAGAATTTAGACATCGAATAACGGTAATTTTTTGATTTGCTTCTGATAGTATTCTAATATCGCGTACGTTATGCAAAAACATTGTTTGTTTATGTCATTTGTATATTGGCAGTCGCAGATAATGCAGATTACAATTCTTAAGCGAGAATATTCTTCCTGTTAAAGATATACAGTAAAATTTTCTTTCCAACCGAAGTAAAAAAAAATTTTTATTACCCTTTAAAGTTTGTCGCATACGTTATTGTAAGTACGAAAATTTCAATCAAATACATCAAAACCAATGTTAATTGCAAATTTTCCATTTAAATTATTTAGAATAGTTGTAAAACAATGAAACGGTGGCGAGAAGAGTTCTCAATAAATACATTTTGTTACTTACGAGAAAAATTGTCGCGTACGTTATTGTAAAGGTACATTATTTAGCTTAGCTTAGGAATTCTTAAAGAAAAGAATAACTCCCATGATTCGCAGACTTTCGCATATGTATATGCTTGTTTCCATGAAAATGTAAACCGAAAATGCAAGCAAATGAATTCAAACGGCTTTATAACTTTAAATTTCGTATTCAGATGGCGGAAAAAGGTTTTGAAAACCGCGAAACGGTGGAGAGAAGAACTGAAAAAATTTAATTTAGTATGTGTTACTAGTAAAAATATTGTATGGGGGGAAAATCTGTCGCGTACGTTATGTCGCGATCGTTATTATAATTTTTTTTTAATACAAACTAGCCAGAGATAATTTCTATCAAAAAATGGAAGGATTGTAAATGTACATTACTTAGCTTAGTTTAGGAATTTTTAAAGAAAAGAAAAACTCTCATGATTCGCAGACTTTCGCATATATGTATATGTGCCTCAAAACCACTTCTTTTTTTGTCGCGTACGTTATCACCTGGTTTTGAACGGATATTTTCCACACCAAAGTTTCGAGGCTGCTTATTTTTTTCTCAAACATAGTACCCTTTGGTTGCAACGTAACCGTAATCTTTTTTTTTCAGTAACTTCTATTTTTGATAGATTTACGTTACTCTATAAGCGTACGAATGTCGCGTACGGCTGTGTGGAAACACCCATATATATATTTTTTTAATATAAAAATTAAGTTAAAAAGAAAAATAGAAGTTAATTAATTTCCT